CTTGGAGATTGTCTCTTAAGGGTCTGTCCATCCTGGGGTTCATTGAGCTTCTTGAATGCTTATCTTTTCACTTTTCAGAATGTTAGGAAATTTTTCTTCCAGAATTTCTTCAACTATCTCCTCTGTGGGCTTGTGTGATTCTTCCTGTTTTGAATGCCAGTATTTCTTACGTTATTCCTCTTCATGTTGTCCAACATGACTCTTAGGCCTTCTGCAGATTTTTTATCCTTTTTTGTGTTTGCCGTTCTATCTGAGTAGTGTTGAGAGATTTATCTTCTAGCTGACTAGTTCTGGCTTCTATCTCTTCAATTCTACTCCTTTGCCCTTTCAGTGTATTGCCTATTTCTGATATTCTATTATTAATCATTTGAACCTCTTTCTGTAGGTTTTGCATTGTTTCCAATGCTGTATCTATCTTATTTGATTGTTCCTGTAGCGCTTTCCTGATTTCTTCCTTATGTTTTTCAACTCCCGTTTTATAGTGTTTTGATACATTTTATAATAATTTTTCTGAATTCATTCTCAGGCATTTACCAACCCTGTCCATCTTCCAGTAAGGAGTGTAGTTCTACTTCCAGCTCATTTGCCTCAGTCAACTTTATCTCATTTCTGGACATGTGTGCAGATATGATCATCTGCTTCTGGTTTTTTTTTTTTTTTTTTGGCATATTCAGGGATTATCTGTGGCCTTAATACTAGATGAGTGTGTATTTTGGTATTTTTTGTGCTTCCTGATTGCCTCCAGGTAGATATGATCAGGAAATGGGCTTCCCTTTTCACTCTTCTTTTTGAGAAATTTCAAGATGCCACTGTTGGTCATTTTTACCTAGCTTAGGATTTAATTTTTGGCCTGTTTCCTTTTTTTGTCTGCCTGTCCTCCTCCACAATCCCTGCTCCGGTCTCTTTTCTAGTTATAAACAGTTCAGGGCCAGCTAGGACCGTTTGGTTTTAAGTGGAAACTGTCTCATTAAATTTCAAGGAGATCTGTGTGCATGCATAGTAGAACCCTCTGAGGGTGGGCCTGGGGTGTCCACTAACTCAGGCACCCCTATAGTCACCACAATGGAGGTGCACAGACAGCAAGGGACCAATAAACAGGTACCAAAAGAAAAGAGTGTCCACACCTTTATCTGCCATTCTGTCAGGCGTCTGTGGCTGCTCTGATCCTTCCCCTACTTGGTCTCACCCAAGATGGTGGATCCTGGAGCAGCTGAGCGTCTTGAATTAGAAAACAATGGATTTCTTACTTCTGCTACAAATTTCATTAGCTGTAAGCCTTCCAACTTCTAAATATTCCTTTATATATGGTTCAGAGTTCTTGGACCGTCCCCTGAGCCTGCTTGGTCCTGTATTCTGTGTTGTTGCTGAAGGAGCTCCTAATAACACTTACACCCGATCTGCCATCTTTGTTCTATCACAGCATTTATTTTTAATCTTATAACTAGAAGGTCAGGGTACCTTGGTGCTGGAATCCTGGTTGGCAGGCCAAAGTGTTCTTTAGAGGGAGACAAAGGAAGTCTCGTTGTTCCCCAAAGTTTGTCCTCCATTCTTCTAGAGCTGAAATGCATACTTTCAAAATGATTCAATATAAACAGTATCTTTCAGAGGGATCATAATACATTTAAACTTATTTCTCATTCTTTAATAAACTAGCAATTCATGTGCTTATGTACATATGCTAAGATAATTTACTATGTAAGTGTAATCAAATACTTGATCTGTGATTGTACATATGAGGGTAAGTCAAAAAATATTACTACAAAAAAGCATAGAAACCTTCATTGAAATTGTCAAAATGTAAAACCATTGTTTCTTGACATATGAATGTAGTGTTTCCATTTCTCTAACCCTTTCTCCAAAGAATTCTGTACTTTTTGATTGACATTACATCAAAATAGCAGTTTGAGCCTCCTCAAGGGACTCAAATTATGTTCCTTTTCAGTGTTCTTTGCATTTTCGGAGCAAAAGGAAATCTGAAGGGGCAAGACCAGGGCTATAGAGTGAGTGGGGTAAGGTTTCCCAACAAAACTCTAGTAGGGAGTTTTGCTACCCTCAAAGAATGCATTGTTATGATGGGAAAAAAATTCCTCGACAGAGCTTTCTTAGCCATTTATCACCAATACAGTTTTCAGCTTTCTTCAAACTTATTCATAATAAGCCTCCATAATCATTATATGTCCTTCAAGAAAATCTATCAAAATTACCACTGTGGAATCCTAAAGTCATTTGCCATAATGTTCAGGGCTGACTTCTCTGCTTTGAATTTACCTGGCCTAACAGATGTCCCAAACCACTGTTTTCATTGGACCTCTTTTTTATTTTTTCAAACAAGTATACAGATATTACTGAGAGAGCTAATTTGCAATCAGCCACTGATTGCAGAGCCATGTTTAAGAACATTTTGTTTGGAATAAACCTGTGCATGTATGAACTGGAGCCCTAATAGCAATCCTTTTTGACATACCCTCTTATAAGAATACAGCTAGAATTGCTTTCTCGCTATTCATACAGTTTGGCTTTTCAAGATTTGCAGTTTTGATTTGAGATTCTAACTAGGAACTGCTTGCTGGTCAGAGTTTTAAAACTTCTACCAACTCAGCAATATTGTTGCTGGGGTAGTGTGTATGGATAAATGAAGTAGAGAATGTGATTTTACTGAGGTTCTCTCTCTCTTTCCCTTTTTTTTTTGTTTTTTTTTTGTTGTTGTTTGTAAAATGACCCCCATCTGGTCTCTGTTCCTGACCCAGCCTGTTACTCACTACCTGGTGAAGTGGTGTTCACTTCCTTATGAAGACAGCACATGGGAGTTGAGGCAAGATATAGACCAGGCCAAGATTGAAGAGTTTGAAAAACTCATGTCCAGGGTGCCAGAAACAGAGCGTGTGGTAAGAATGGTTCCATGCTAGAAGATTTTATTTGAAAATAGGATTGTGGTGTGGTCTTTGAGAACTACTAATGAGATTTACTATATTTGAAACAGGAGCGACCTCCTGCTGATGATTGGAAGAAATCAGAGAGTTCCAGGGAGTATAAAAACAATAACAAACTCAGGGAATACCAGTTGGAGGGAGTAAACTGGCTACTTTTCAATTGGTACAACATGTATGTAAGGCATTTTTTTCCTTCACTTTAAAAAATATTTGTAGCTCTTTTCCTTTTCAGGTATTAAAATATTAGTTAATTTTTTAAAAAAATTAAGAACAGAGTAAGCTTTGAAAGTATGCTTAGTATTTATTTAGCTAGTTTTACAGGTTGATAAAATTATGTACAAAGAATATTTTATAGAATTTTGTTTGGGAATGTGAATGGTTTTATTGACTAGGAGAACATCAGAAACCATCTGGGTATGAATTTGTGATTGTAATAATCTATGTTTTGTGACAAGACATTGGTGTCTGATATCTGTACTCATTAAACTTTTCTTATTTTATTTTCCTTCCAAAGGCGAAACTGCATTTTAGCAGATGAAATGGGTTTGGGAAAAACTATCCAGTCCATTACATTTCTCTATGAGATATATTTGAAAGGAATTCATGGCCCTTTTTTAGTAATTGCCCCATTGTCCACAATCCCCAACTGGGAAAGGGAGTTTCGTACCTGGACAGAGTTGAATGTGGTTGTGTATCATGGGAGTCAAGCTAGTCGTCGGACCATTCAGTTGTATGAAATGTACTTCAAAGATCCACAGGTAAAATGTCACAGATGTTACCCCTTATGATTATTATGTGCCTATTAAGGAGCTAGAAATGAAAATGGTGACTTGGGGGAAGGTTAAAATTTTGCTAAGTTGAGAAACTTTTCTTTAGATTTCTTATCCAATTTAGGTTTACATTGCATTTCTACATCTTGCCAGTACAATTCATTTTCTTTATCTCTGTATCTTTGGTTATTCTGAGTGAAAGTTTTACCTTAAAATGTATCGGTGTGGCACTGCAAGCTGAGCACTGGACTGCAAGTTCAATTTGAACCACAAGTTTGGCGATTCAAACTCACTAACCAATTCTCAGAACACTATGCAGAGTTTTTATGAGTCAGAACTGACTCAACAGCAAGTCAGTTAACAACAAGAGAGAGTTAAAATTAAAAAAAAAAGGTATTGCAGAGTGTGAATAGAAATATATTCTATTATACTATATTATGATAGTGCTAGAAGTGAAAAATATTAGACATGTACAAAGTCCTTGAAAAATGTGACATGGCAAATGAAAGGGAAGAATTTATACATTGCTCAGTCATAGCGAATGCTATCATTTTATTCTAAAAACCTATATGCAATTACTTATTCTATGATGTTGACAATACAGCATTTTAAATGACATAATAAGGAAGAATAATATGTGCTAGAAATATAAGGAGGTTTTATAAAATTTATAGAAAAATGGAATTAAAAGATAATGGGATTTTTCTATGAACTTTTTTAATTCCCCTAATAGTTTTAAATTCTAGATAATAAATTGTTAAATGCCATTAAGTCAGTTCTGATTCATAGTGACCCTGTATAGGGTTTCTGAAGAACAGCTGGTGTATTTGGACCACCAATCTTGTGGTTAGCCATCGACTGCGTATCTTACAACACCACACAATGAATCCAGGTAGTAAATGGAACACCTATAATTGAAAATGGGAAAGACCTTTTTTGCATTTACATTTAAGTGTCATGTGATTTATAAGTAACTAAGTAAAGGTGAAAAACTATTGTATTTATGTTCAATTTTGGGAAATTTGCCTTAAATGATTTCTTAAAGATATTTTTAAAAAAGTTTAAGGAGTAAAATTTTAAAAAGTTTAAACAAGTGAAAGATGTTTTGTGTACAATCCCTTGGCACTGACTAGCATTGAAACGCTTTTTGTACTTACTGCATGTGATATGGAAGGTAGGTGGATCTGAAATTTTGCTAACAATGTTCTAACTTTACTTTAAAAAGGAAACATTTTTAAAACTGTGTTATATCATAACACCTTAAAACCTCCAAAATACCTTGAAAGTGGTACCTTAAACAAAGAGACTCCCAAAGGTTAAATATGTGTATTTTATACTAATTTATTCACCCTCAAAGTTATTAATGTAATCATTGATGGTTAATAATAATTCAGATTTGTTCTTATAGGGTCGAGTGATAAAGGGGTCCTATAAGTTTCATGCTGTCATCACTACATTTGAGATGATTTTGACTGATTGTCCTGAGCTGCGAAATATTCCGTGGCGCTGTGTGGTCATTGATGAAGCTCACAGGCTGAAAAACAGGAACTGCAAGCTGCTAGAGGGACTCAAGATGATGGACTTGGTCAGTGGTAGTGTGGGTGATTCCAATTAACTGTAATAGAACTATTTCTGATTTGAGATTCTGGTTTGATACTTGTGAAGGGTGTTTGCAAAGCCTATCATATATTGTGATATAAAACCTCCAGTTAGTCAAAAGTTACTTAGAAAAAGCTGTTCTCTTCCTGATTCTTGCACTGTTTGCTGCAGTTATATACAAGATACACTGTTGTTATATGCCATGGAATTGATTTCAGCTCACAGCAACTCTGTACAAAATTTCCAAGGAGCAGCTAGTGGTTTTGAACTGCCACGTTGTGGTTTGAAGTCCAGGACCGATCCTACAGCACCACACCAGGAGTCCATACAGAGTATTGTTATTAAGTGCTGTCAAGTTGGTTCCGACTCATAGCAATCCTGTACAGGGTTTCCAAGGAACAGCTGACGAGTTTGAACCGCCAAATTTGTGGTTGAAATTGACCTTGAGGTCTAGTGCTTTATCCCACAGTGCCATACAAGGACTCAAGTCAAAGTCTTAATTTTACACAAGTTAGTTTCAGGTATTTGTTCGGATTTCACCGTTGTTTTTCAATAACAACTATTTCACAAGCTGTCGGGCAAGTCTTCATCTCATTGATGATGATCCAGCTGTTTTAGTGCTTGTAAGTTTTGGCATAGTATGGCCAGTAGGACTGGTTGATGCAAGTTCTCAGGTAGTTTGGCAGGATATCTGGTGTTGGTCTAGTTCACACATACACTTAGAAGTTTGAGGCATTTACAAGACCTTGGGTTTGATCTGGAGTTTTAGACCATACAGTCTCACCATCTTACAGGTTCCCAAGAAATATTCAAGTATTCCTGACTAGATTTTGCCAGTATGATTATCATGGTATGACGCATTATATAAGTAGCAAAATTTGGCTGACTGTGTGTTCCATACTGTGTGTTATTTCCTGGCAAAATTTCAGCATTTCTTTTCATTCCATAATTTACAAGGCGGTTTATCATGGTTTGCTTTTCATTTTAATGGACAGTTTGGATACTAAGTTATTGTCATTTAGCCTTTTAAGGCTTTTTGATGAACTGCAAAACATACCAAAAATTCCTTAAATGGAGAACAAACAAGATGGCGGAACAGGTGGATGTGTAGCAAAGAGCTCCACTAACAACAACACAGAACAACTGACAAAGCAGGCTCAGGGGATGGTCCCAGAACTCTGAACCACATATAAAGAAATACTTAGAAGGTTGGAAGGCTCACAGCTGCGGGAATTTGAAGCAGAAGCAAGAATCTATTGCTTTCTAGTCTGGGACGCTCGGCTGCTCCAGGATTCGCCATCTTTGGGTGAGACCACGTGGGGGAAGGATCGAAGCGGCCACAGACGCCTCGCAGAACCGCTGAGATAAAGGTGTGGACATTCTTTGCTTTTGGTATCGGTTCATTGGTCCCTAGCTGTCTGCACACCGCCATTCTGGTGACTATAGGGGTGCCTGAGCTCGTGGGCAGCCCAGCCCCACCCTCGGAGGGTTCTACTATGCATACACACAAATCTCCTCGAAATTTAAAGAGACAGTTTCCAATTAAAACCAAATGGCCCTAGCTGGCCCTGAACTGTTTCCAACTAGAAAAAAGGCCTGAACGGGGATTGTGTACCAGGACAAGCAGGCAAAAGATGAAATAGGCCGAAAATTAAATCCGAAGTTACGCCAAAATGACCAACAGTGGTATCTTGAAACTTCTCAGGAAGAAGAGTGAAAAG